ACGATAGCTGCAGGGTGATTTTGCCACCTGGATCCTGTATAGGAGATCTCGTCGTCTCTTTTCGAGGAGCACGAGTGCCATTCGTCATTCGGCGTTTGGGAGAAGCATCCGGCTATTATTCAGACATTTTCGGAGTTTCTTCGAAGTCGCCCTTCGAAGTTCGTGCGTTTCTGAGAGGAATACGGTTTGAGAGGTGCAAACTCATTGGAGAGTGTTTGGTCAACGACTTCAATTACTTGACCGCTAGCGTGAAAGAAGAAGCTGTTTTCGGAATGGAATAAGGAGACAAAAGGTCAGTCAATGCGAGGAGGTCATGTAATTAGAGGGTTGTCAGAATGCAGGCACGAGATAGCCACTAAGAAGCAACATTATGAGATAAGCCTCAAATAAGTGTATTCATCTACGTAAAAGAAGAAGAGAAGGTAAAGATGTTGATACAGATGCAGTGGGTTCAGCTGCGAAGCCACCGAGAATTGGGCATCGTAAATCTATGCTCAGTATCCAAGCTTGAAGCCACCCCAGTTGAGCTTGGTGAAGGTCAAGTCAGGGTCGTACTGGTCACGGACGGACCTCATTCTCTCGACATTGGCAGCGCCATACTGAGGAAGCGGCTTCTGGAACTCGCCAGCGTCACCCATGTAGATGAACTCGGTAGCGAGACCCTTGGCCTTATTGATCTCGTGGTGGTGGGCGAGAAGAGACTCGTGCCAAGCAGTCATTCGGAGATCGTCCTCGGCGCGAGCCCAAGAAGTGGTGAACTGCCACCCTGCAATGGTGTGTTAGTTGAGAACGACGAGAGCCTGAGATCCGGACTATGGCACATACAGATGTAGGGCTGATCATTTTCAAGACCGAAGGTGTTGCCAACACCGTTGGTCTTGGAGGGAGTCAAGGCGGATGCGGGAAGCAAGTTCAAGATGTAAGTAGGGCGAAGGCCTTCGACATCAGCAACATCCTGGATGGCTTCGACCCACGACTGGTAGATCTCGTAGAGTCGGTCGGCATCGGGCTTGATGGTTTGGTGAGCGAACTGAATGCTGGCAAGATAGGTCAGCTACTGCTACTAAGGATCATAAACGCCCAAAGCTTACCGGAACATCTGGTTAGGAGATTCCATCTGGGCGTGCCAGTAGATGGGTTTGGTCACATTGTGGACGCGAGTGATAGCGTTAGGGATCGCGGTGAAGTTGGCAAAACGGGAAGGGGGCGACTCGGTAGTCTCCTGAAGACCAAACACCTGGGGGTTGGTCTCCTTGGTGGTCATGTTGTAGTTCATATTGATAACAGCTCCGGCACCGACGCTTCCATCCTCAGAAAGGACCATGTCGCAGGCGGCCTTGATGAAATCGGGGATGGCATCCTGGGGGAAGACCTGCAAGGTGCTGGTTACCAGAGGGATGTCGTAGGTCTTCAAGGTGAATTTGGTCACGATTCCGAAGTTGCTGCCGCCACCCTTGAGAGCCCAGAAGAGCTTAGTGTTAGTGGTGTTGTCGGCGACGACTTGGGTGCCATTTCCGAGAACCACATCGTAGCCCAGAACGTTGTCCATGGAGAATCCATACTTATTGAGAAAGTAGCTGACACCACCGATCAGGGTGAGACCGGGGACACCAATGGTCTTGAGACGACCGCCGATGGCGTACTTTCCATAGGGTGCCAACTCCTGGTAGACATCCACCCACTTATTGCCAGGTCCAACCTCAATGTTGTTATCGTCGGCGTTGACTTTGCGAGCGTTCAGTCCATTTAAGGCGAGAAGGATACCGTCGTCGATCGTGTTGGATCCGGGGTACTGTTGACACATTCCGTTAGTGGATGAAGGGCCGGAGAATCGGGGCTAAAAGGGGCACCCACATTCATGTGACCGCCTCCCTTGACGGCAAAAGGGGCCTTGTTGGTGTGGAAGATCTCAACCGCCTTGGCAACATCCTCCGCGGTACTTGGCATGTAGATGCACGCAGGAGAAAGGTTGGCCCTCTTATCCCAGACGTTGATACGCTGGGTCTCGTAGGCGGTCGAATTGGGGAAGAGGGTCGCGTTGGATGCGATGGCACTCAGCTGGTCACAGGCAGCTCTAACGCTATCAGTGACCAACAAGTCACGGCGCCCGTACTTCGAGCTTCCGGCTGCAGCAGAGCTGGCCAGTAATAGGGCGGAAAGAACTGGGGGAGACAACATGGTCGGCGGTCTGGGGTTGGGAATAATGAATGAAATGTGATTGGAACGAAAGAAGATGGGATGGTGAGTGTTTAGAGAGAAGACAAACAGAGAAAGGATGATATTTATCTATGATCGTGAGAGATGAAGTTTTCCCCTGTCTGATCATCTGTACGACCCTCTACTCCCCAAGATGCTGCTCAACACCACTGCGCCCCTATTCCGATTTCTCCATCAGTCCCATCTCTAGATCATCACCCATCTGTAATCGCAATCGGTCTCGGTATGTTGTGAAATCTCGGCGAATACTGCTCAGCCTTACCTGAATGGATATACCGATAGCATTGATGGTACCGCCAGTATGGGCGGAACCAGTCCACAACAGCCTCCATTTGGCCTCCGTTGCCATCCACGAACCTGCACTAGCGCACGGCAGTCATACATAGTTCATAGCCTGATGACGATTAAGCATGCATCTCCAGGTGCTCCATACCTAAGCGAATACATGGAAGGCGACGTGGCCCACGGTTGGGGAACTGTTTCCACAACACCAACCCGCAAATGGCATCGGAGGCGAGGCGATTATCGTCTGAAGCCGCGTCTCTAATGCGGCTTGCTATCACATTTTACCCAATGCGGGGTGCTTTGGAAATTGGAGTGACACATTACCATCCTAACATCAAGCGTTGAGACGAACAGGGCTATTCGATTGAAGGAAATAAGCGGGTTTACACATTAGCGATCTAATCCTTACGACGTATAGTGTCGCCTTCTAGAGATTTTCTAACGGAGTAGTCCTGGCTCGGCGCCACTTCGGCAAGTCAGCCACACTGCATTTCCGTCGTATTGCACTGTTCGCACTCGTATTTAGCAGATGGGGCTTGGTCCGCCAAAGATCCCCAAAGATCCGCTGGCGATCAAAACGGACGTCAATGCGGCAACCAGTCGCTTCGGCTTTACGTGTATTGCTGCATTGTTGTAACAGTTAGAATAGAATGCGCGTCTCTCTCTAAAACCGAAGAAGGAACTATACGGAATTCTTCCAGAACGCTTTACAGCACCAGATCTGGAACTTGCACTTGACAAGTAGTTTGACTCAGTTCCAATAAATGATCTACCGCTCATCTTGTTTCTGCCCTAACCGGCCTCCGATGATGTCCGGGGCGGCGAGCCGACTTCGAGACCTGTCGCCACCAATCAGTGAGTGCAGAAACATCGGATCAATTGACCAAAGCTTTGCAGAAATCCATGCCAGTTGGAGGTAATAGAATTCAAGCGCTGTTTCATCGGATCAAAGTTTGACTCTAGCCGTAGAACAGCGTCAATGGTTCGCGTGCCGCACCGGCCGGCGGTCGGACACTTTGAGAGCCTCCACAGAAAGCTGAACCTTTGTCCGACACTCCCGGTACTCCGCCATCTCTAATCCACCATATCGTAGGTCCGACTTCGCGGCCTGGCCGCCGACCTTTTACCCTCTTTGGACCCCCATGCATCGAGCTCTTGACAGAGTGACATAATCCTTGCACAGCTCATCGTTTTCTCGGCCCTCGCCGCTGCGCTGCTGGCTTATGGCATCCGCCTCCAATCACACATGGCCCGCGGCCATGTCCGAACTGAGACTCAGAGGCACTATCGGTGCCGCGACTGGTGGCACCCTGCTGCCGAATTCCGTCACGGCCAAAGGCTGGCTCGCATGTGTTGTTTTGTCTCTTCTGAACGGCCTTCTCGACAGGGTGCTGCGCCATCATCAGAAAGGTGCGGCAAAGCGAGCTCTGGATGAGGGGCGGCGCCGACGACTTGGCGTATGGGAAGAACGACAACATAGCGGGCTCGAAAAGCTACACGAAATGCTTGCCGACCTAGACATCCCGGAAGTTGACTTGAACACCATCGACATGCACGAGTGGCTGGACTATGCTTTTTATCGATCATAACCGACCGCCATTTATCACTCAAGAACTCCAAGTCGAACAATCAGGGTATCACGAATAGTCCTTTCATTGAAGAACAGTCATGAATGGTAACGTCGTATCCGTTTCGTCCACTGAAGAGATGTACTGATCGATGATCTAGGCTTTGGCACCACTTCGCGGAAGCTGGCAAAGCTCTTTGGAGACGCTATCGCCTGGGAAATCAACAGAACCGAGATAGACAGCAGATAGGTTGTTAAGAAACACAGCGCTACTTTTCTTTCTTGGAATTTACTGAAGTATTTGCATCATGGAGACTTGTGAAAGCTTCGTAGAGTTCCCTCGAGTGCCTGCATCAAATCTGAATACTTGATACACGGCGCAACAGGCACACTAACACATCCATTGAGATAAACTCCATCAATTGGTGTCTCAATAACATTAATCAGACATGCGTCTTTTTCTTGCAGCTTCGATGAAGAGGAAAGCCTAAGTGTGAACGGCCCATGTAGTTACACAACAAGCAGCTACCCTCCCTGAGCAAATCACGACTTGTCAATAATCGCTCGAAGTTATTTCCCATTTCTATGTTATATCTCTAAAGAATTAAGGCCAATACAAGTCAATTTTTAGTTCCACGGGAGTGGTCGGGGGCTGGGTGCAAATAAGGTTTAAGATCCATAGGTAACTTGAACTCAAAGTTTACGGCGAAAGCTTATCTTTAGTGTTATAATTACGAGTAGAGACTTCCCCATAATTGCGGCCCGTTGTTTAGTAGTGTAACGTACGAGATTCAATTGCACTAGAATGGTTCATGAAGTCGTGTTAAGCATTTGCAACTAGGTCTATCGGTCCTGAAAGTCGATTTCCACAGACGGCACCCTCATTCGCGTGTAATGCCCCTTTTCAGCATGTGCAGGGGGACACAGAGGTCTAGGGAAATAACAGTCCGTTGAGACTTTCGGCGCCCGTGAAGTGAGTAGGATCGGAAAGAGGTTGCCCAGAGCTCAGAAAGCCCATGTCCAGCCATGCGGCAGAGTCCAACGATCCTCCATCGAATGCTTTAAGCCAATCTGGAGGCTCCTCCGTGTTTTCTTCCTCATTTTGGGCGAAATCATTTTCTTTGGACTTCATACCCCTGCTCAGTTCTCTTGCGAAAACACGAGCGAGGCCTTTATATAGATGGATCGGGGACGAAGAAGGTAGTTGTTGGCCTAGCTTCTCCAGTCGTCTCGAAGTCGCCTGAACTTTGGTCGCAGCCTCAATTGCATCTGAGGATGCGATGCATCCGCGCTTGATGGCCTAAGAAGCAGTTCATTCAACGTCAGCCCTAGGGGAAGCATATGGGCTGAAAGAAAGAACTACCTGAATTATCTCTGTAATGGCGTGAGCAATCATGATATACATGTTGTTCTGGATTCCGAGAATCATTTCATGCAGAATTGCATCGTAGAGAATGACATTGAGCGCGCGCAAAGCAGCCTTGAACGTTCGTTCAGTGACGATTGACATCTCTGTCGATGCTTCGGTTTTGTCAAGGGATCTCACATCCTTCAACGCAGTTGCGCTGAGCACCAATAGTGAATGACCCACGTAAAAATCGAGAATCGGAAGATACTGTGACGAAGGTGAGCCGTCTGGGGTACATCGGAGATCCCGAGTAGTCTCGAGGATTTCGAACGCTTCCGAGTGCCAGCCCAACAGGGCCGAAAGGCTTCTATCTACGAGCGAATGTTTTCCTAAGCTGTCAACTGTGGTACTGGTCAGCGGACACTGACGCTCTATCTAGGAGGTATGCAATAGCAAGTTACTCACAAGCTTTCCTCTGATCTCTATAATACCGCAGATCATACGATCGGTGGGACTTGTCATTGGTTTTCGCCACCAATCAGGTACGGACTGGGGCAACTCGCTCCACGAAACACTGAGATAACGGCCAGTGGTGATCCCAAAAGATTTCTCAGCAAGAAAAACATAGATCCAAGTTCTCTCAAAGTTTCGCGTGAGACGTTCCTTTCACTCAATGGTCGCGTTTGGCTGGGCTGCGTTCACCAGCTTTGCAACGGCATCAGGGGAGTTGATGCCTATCTCTCTTGCCAATGGTGTGATCTAGTGAATTCACGGGTAGTAATCAGCGACAGTGCTCAGTTGCCAGATGCTGCAATCATTTACCTACATAACTGACTTGAAGCCAGTAAGGATCATCCGCATGTCTTTCGCAAAGAGGTACCCAGTATTTCAAGTTGATGATGGCTTGAATCAGCTCCACTGATCTGACGGGCATGGCTATGGACCATCTTACGTTGGCCTCGGCGATCGATAGTAATGTCGGGTATAGAATCCGGTCTCTTGCTCGACCTGAGATGCCGCATCCCATCGCGCAAACAACTGAGAACAGCGTAAACGAGATTGAGTAGACGTATTCGGAGGTGTGGAGTAAAGGGTCTAGAAGGCCGACGAAAGACTTGCGTATTTGGAAGAAGCTTGAACCCAATACCGTGATCAGTCCTAACCCTGATGCAGCACCAGAAGGGCCATACTTACAGACTCCAGTACAGGTCCACATCCTCCTTGTCAATCAAACGGGCAGTAATTGGGTCGCAGGCATCGGCTTCTAGTTTGAGAGTGCTGTCTATCGGCTGGGATGCCAAGATCTGCCAGTCCTTAGGGTAAGTAATCGGAGGTGCTGGCCACCATCTTGTCAGCAATGTCATGTCACAGGAGATATCAGACGAGTAATTGTTACTGAAGTATGTTTCGAGGCGTTTGTAAATGGGGTCTGGAGTTTCAGCATGACTGAAATGTGCGGTCAAATCTGGGTCAAGAAGGGGTGAAGCTCCCCCATATTGCGAAGCAGTCATATCTGCTGCTGCTGCGGCCATAATATGATGAGGTGACACCACGCAGCTTTGATCGCTTGGTGTGAAAACTCGGCCAAGGCTTTGTCGGTGATTGTCGTGAGGGAATGACTCATGATATTCAGTCGCAACGTGGATGCAACTAGAGACTGCATCTTCAACAATGATAGGGGCAGGATGAGGTCTTGAAGGTATCGGTGGTGTCGTTAGAAATGTCTGTCCGCTGTGTTCGCGAAGGAGGGCAGCGATGACCCGGGCACGCAAGGGGCTCTCGTTAATGCGTGCGAGTATCTTTTCCACGGTGTCCGGCTTACTGGCTCGAAATCAGCCAATGAAATATTTAACTCTCGCAAGGAGTCTTTGTACTTTACACTTCCGTGCTTGCGACCTCTTTGAGAGCCAGATAGATATCGGCAGGCTAGATCCTGAGAAGCACATCGCGAACTGCCTCATGATGTCAGCGGTTGATTCCATCTTGACTGCGAACAGATGAATAATCGACTTACCAAGGCAGGTGACGATCGCATCGTTGTCTTGCTGATCGGCAATTGAAGCATGCAGTCGGATGGACCGGAGGAACGCCGCCGTCACTTCCAGAGCCTCTTGAAAGCAGGTGCTGTTCTTCCCTCTCTGGTGCAGAGGTAGTCGAAGCCTGTGGCGGCGGCTGTTGTTCCTCGGTCGGTTCCTGTTCCAAACCGTCTGATCCCATTGGGCTATAAGATTGCTCAAACAGGGGCAATGTTGTGCAAGCCGCAATAGACTGCGATTGATGGAATTTTGCGTGTAGTTGATGTGTGATTCATCGCGGGGTTCAGATCAAATCACCGCGGGGCTTAATGGTGCAATTAGATGTGTGCCTAGAGCTAAAAACCAGGACTTTTGACCCCTACCGCTACTATCTTAGAGACCTCTTTATATTACTATAACTAGCGATTAAAGCGTTAATTTACTACCTTCTTAATATATTATTCTACTATAAATAGCTTACTAATATAAGGTTTTTATTAGTATTAAATTCTTTATAGAAGAAAGTAAGGGATAAAGGGTTTATTAACTCCTATATCTTCTTTTATAGTTAAATAGTAATAGAAAAATAATAGCTACCATAATAATAATCCTAAATATTCTTTTTAATAATAAAGAAAGTAATAGTATTTAAAATAATATAGAGATCCTTAATAATAGAGAGGATATGAAGATATTTTTATTACTACTATATTAATATTATACTTTCTACTCTTTATTAATAATAAAAGATACTTAGTTTTATAAAGTTTTATAACTATTCTTTATTTGGATTTAAGAATAACTTAATAAAGGGAACTTACTTAAGAATTAAAACCTATATATTAACTATATAATAAGTAATATCTTATTATGAATATAAATAAAGTTCTTAAAACTGTTAAGACATACTTAGAAAACCTTTATTAATAAGTTTAAGTTATTATTATATAAATAGTATAAAATTAAAAGCTTCTTCTATTTAAATACTAAGTATAATAATAAGTTTCATATAATATATATATTAGAAGATTTTTAATAAGACTTTATTACTAAGAGCTTTTATTTATAAGCTATTAAAAAAGGCTTTTTATTTATTAATAAATATGAAGTCTTAGAACTTAATTAAGTATTAATAAGCTAGTGTTATAGGCTACGCCTACTTATTACGTCTAAGTGATACTGCAGACTACTAAAAATTCTGCTTTTAGTAACTATATTCGCTTAATAAGCGCCCTAGACCTATTTTTCCTCTATGTAAGGAGTATCCTAGAAACTTTTTTTCTTTAGCTTAGATTGTTATAATCAAAGTACCCCTAAGTTAAATAAACTAAAAGCTAGCTTTTTATATATCTAAGCTTTATTAACCGCCTATTTTACTAATTATATAATATAATAAATAGGAAATAGGAAATAAAGCTAACTAAACTAAAAGTAATTAGTTTAAAAATAGCGCTGATAAGTAAAGAGGTGTTAGAAGTAATTTATATAGTAGTTAATAAACTTAATAATTAACTTAATAATATAACAATTTTATAATAAGCTAAAAATAAATTAGTTATAAAGTTAATATAAATAGTAGTAATTAGTAATATTATAATGTTATTAATATTAAACTTTATAATACCTCTATTAGCATTACTATTAGTATTACTACTCTTTAAGCTAAATAGTACTTAAGAAATAAATGTTATTTAATATTTAAAGCTTTTTCTAAATCTTTTTAAGTTAAGAGGTAGTTATAATAAATATATTATGTTAACATATAACATTCTTTTATAATAATAATAATAATATAAGAATAATAATAACGCTAAACTTACTTTAATATTCTATATAAAATAAACCAGTAAAGTTTAAGGTACAAAACCTTATATAAAAATACTTGATTTATTATAACTTATAACTATAATATTGATTATGTAATACGTATAGCTACGTAAGCACCTTATGTAATTAGCAGTTTAGCAGGTTACGTTTCAGGTTATCTTTCCCCTCACTTTTCCCTACTAGAGGATGCAACCTGCGAACAACAACAACCAGACTCATCACAATACATCTGTTCCCTTATTCTTATCTATACAATTAAATGCTCATAAATGCTCAGAAATATTACCTTTTATCATAACATTACCACATCTATAACCTTATACTACATAGGCGCATGTACCACGCCCCTGAATACGCTTATACCTGTGCTAATAGTTATAGCTAAAAGAAATAAACTTTTTATAATAATAAACTATATCTTTATTATTTTAATAAATTATTAGCTTTATAGAGATAAAATAGTAAGAAAGTAATATTTAACTTATATCTATATAAATAGACTTAATAGACTTATTAGAGTAATAAATAAATGAAATGATATTATTTATAAACAAAGTTAGTTTCATAACTATAAAGAAATAATAAAATAAGATATCTTGTTTAAAGGTATTATAATAAGCTATAATATTAATAAAACATTTAGTTTTAGCTATAATAGTTATACATTTTAAATAAAAAACCTTATAAGGAGGCCTTTGGGTTTTATTTAAAGAGATATTACTAAATATAAAATAATATTGATAAAGGCTTTAATATAATATTAGAAAAATAATAAATAAATAGCTAGGAAATATGTAAAAATAAGCGTTTATATAGTAAAACGAGTAGAAAAGGATTAAATAAAGTTATAGAGGGGGTTATCCTTAAAGTTAAAGTCTTTAAAAATAGATTTCCTATTATTAGAGAAGCTAATAAAATTAGATTAATTAGAGAGTAGGTTTTTAATATTAATAAAAGAGAGAGAGTTTATCTCTGTATTAAAATTAGAAATAGAACATTATATAAAGTCGATTATAATAAAATAATAAGAAAAAGGTAAGTAATAATATATAGGAGGTATTATTTATAGAAGCTAAATAAGTAGTAATTAGATCTATATAAATTAGTAATTAATAAGAATTTAGATTTAACTGGTTTATAAGATAAGTAGACTAAGAATATATTAAAAATATAGGTATAATAATAATAAATGAATTAAATAATAATATAATAAATTAAATAACTTATTATTAACGTCATATAAATTAATGAGAAAAAGAAAAATAAGAATAAATAAAAAATAAAAGTTTTTATTGCTATTATATTATTTATTCATAAATAATAGTATAGTTAGTAGTTTAAATTAATAAAATTCTAAGCTTATTTTTAGCTTGTATTCATTACTTTTAGTTTATACTAAAACTATATTTATATAAAAGCTAGAAGGAGGAGATATATATTGTAAGCTATACCTATTTATTATATCTAAGTAATACTATAGACTACCAAGAATTCTGCTCCTAGTGACTACGTTTATTTAATAGGCGCCTTATACCTATTTTTCCTCTATATAAAGAGTATTCTGGAAGCTTCCCTTCTTTAGCTTAGATTACTATAATTAAGGCACCCCTAAGTCAAATAAACTAAAGGCTAGCCCTTTGCAGCTAGTTTATTATTAAAATAAGTAGTATTAATATTATTAAGATTATTTTTAATAATAAGAATAAAGTAGAAGAAATTAGAGTAGCTTATTAACTATAGCTTTATTAGTAGAGTTAGTTTAATACTACTTAAGAAAATAAAATAAAGAGAAAAGTTATTAATTTAATAAATTTAGTAAGTATATTAAATAAGAGATTAATTAATTTAAAGAAGTAATCTCTACTTTTTATAAAGTAAAGTTAAGCAATACTAATATAGTAAGCTATAATCTTTAAACGTTATTTAGGTATTATATTAAAGTTAATATAGTATTATATATTACTTAATACTTTAGAGCTTATATATTAGAAGTATTTACTTAGTTAAATATTAAGTTAATTAATAAAAAGGAGGTTGTTTTAGCTAAACTATAATTAAATAAGCTTAATATTATATTTAAAAACTAACTGTTAATCTACTTATTAGTTATTAAATAATATATAATTTCTTTCTATAATTATTAGCTTTTTTTATTAAGTTAACTATATTAAAAACAAAGCTCTCTTTTTTCTCTACTTTTAATATTAACTTTAATATTAAAGTTAATATTATTATTAATAACCTCTCTCATTAAATAATCTTTATACTATATAACTACTTTAATTATATTATTATTATTATTATTATTCTTATTATTATTACTCCTTTTTTAAGTTTACTTTATTTTAAAAGCTTCTTATATTTAGATTACTATATTATAATATACTACTTTATAAGTTTTTATACTAACTATTTTATTTACTTACTTTCTTATGATCTCTAATAACTAATCTTGTATGAAGTTAAGAAGTATATCATCTTAATATTTAAGAGTAATAAAGTTATAAACTATAGTTACTATATATATCATTCTAATTTAATCTTTATAAAAGTACTTTATTAAGTAGTTTTTAAATAGAAGTTACTACCTTTTTATATTACTAAATAGATTCTTAATATTTATTTTTTTATTAGTATAAGATATATTATATATCTCCATTATTAATATT